AGTCTCCTGCAGGAGTTCCGCTGGGAGGTGTTTAATCATTCACCCTACAGCCCGGATCTCGCTCCCAGTGATTTCCATCTTTTCCTACACCTCAAGAAATTCCTGTCCGGTCAGTGTCAGCGTTTTGAGAATGACAGAGAGGCGGAGATGGTTGTCACACAGTGGTTCCAATCCCAGGCGGGCGACTTCTACGACACAGGTATTCAAAAGTTGGTCCCACGGTATGACAAATGTCTCACTTCCGGTGGCGAATATGTTGAAAAATAGCTGGACACTTGCTGTATCTGTTGCAATAAATATTTCCATGAAATTGTGTTTTGTTTCTGTAAACGGCCCCAGGGAAACTTACTTTGTGGACGAGCCTCGTACGTTAACGCGAAAAAATCCTTACTTCGGATTTATGAGCTGTTAAAAACTCTGATACTGAGAGAGAGACACGCGTTCAACTGACCACAAATCATCGTGTCGTGAAGTGCATGAAAATTCATCAGTGTCACCATAAAAGCAGACGGCATGATCTAATTCCGAGTCAGTTCAATCTACTGTCCATCTCTTTTCTCAAACGTCCAAAACCAACCAAAATTTTGCGTGCTCTCGTGATGTTCCTCTCGTCCATATCCTTGGTGAGTAAGCCAAAACTAATCACAAACGTAACACGTGAAATTTCTATCACGAACTGACGTCTCACAAAGCGAAATCAACTTCCCACTTGTTTTTAAATTTCAATTAACACCGGCTTCCTTTTCACAGCTAACAAACTGCAAGGCCAGATCAGACTTTTGACAAGGCTGAGATCTGTCTAGCAGAACCAGCGTTTTTCTCGTGGACAATTGCATATTACATTTATAAGAACAAGTTCAGGTTCACATAAATAAGTGAAGACAGCGACATTTTCGCTAAAAACATTGTGTATTACAAAATACTTGTTTAATTTCTTTTTTCTGTATTTTTAACAGAACATCACAAGAACATTCAATCAAAAGTAAAAGTCTAGGCCCATTTCTGGGGCCTCACTGAAAAAGGTGGCACATCGTGACGTGGAAATTTTATGTTTGTGTTATAAAACAGCATCCAAGTTAACCGAATCGCATAACCAACCTACGACTAACGGCATTTAAAAATGTATCACACTGATTTAATGTTCATGTGAAAACTGCAGTACATTCACTAAATACGTCGAATTTCAACTACCTATTCCTCGGTACCTGGGGTCTCGGGTTCGATTCCCAGCGGTGCCCGAATTTATAACTTGTGTTGGGCAAGGCCGTGGTCTAGGCAACACGGAGTTTTCCTCCGGGGGCTCCCCGGTTTCTCCGTGGCATCCCAACAATTATTCCATTCACACACAGAAGAAGGCAATGGCAAACCACTTCTGGATCATCTGCCAAGAACGTATATGAACAGGTCCCAGTCCGAGAAAAGGATGGAAGGATCCTGTTCATATGGACATGTCGTCAGACAAAACACTAAATAATAATAAGATGAGGGGGTCTAGCGGTTAGAACGCTGACCTTGTAATCCTGGGGCGTTTACATTAATATTAATATTATCAGACGTCTCCCTAAATCACGCATTACAACTATTCTACTCATATTTAATAACTGTCTTAACATCCAAGTCCGATTCCTTCAAATTCCTTCTTCCCGTCGCTTTATAAATAAGTAAGTCATTTTGTATTTGGTCTCATTATTCCACGTCTTCGAACTACATAAAAATTTAGTGTTCATGTTCCAAACTGTACGCGAACGCTCTGTAACTTTAACTTGTGTTGGGCAAGGCCGTGGCCTAGGCAACACGGAGTTTTCCTCATTGGCATCCCAACAATTACTCCATTCACACACAGAAGAAGGCAATGGCAAACCTCTTCTGGATCATCTGCCAAGAACGTATATGAACAGGTCCCAGTCCGAGAAAAGGATGGAAGGATCCTGTTCATATGGACCTGTCGTCAGACAGAACACTAAATAAATAATAAATATTGTAACTATGCAAAATCCATGTAGACAGACAATGTGATATTATGTGTGAACTAAATGAACAAGATAGCAAGGAACGGAAATAATGAGCGAGAAAACTGAGACGTGGGAACGACTGAAAAATAACATTGCAGAAAGACTGAACAACGTAAGGATATGAAGAGAATATAACAAAGTAACAAAGTGGGAGAAGGATGAAGACACGAAGTACGTTCGTCAGAAACGTCGGTAACTACCTGCAAGTCTGCACGGCATCATAAACCAGAGGACCGCCATCAGAATTCACCGTCAAATATCAAAGGAATTTTCTCCTAGTTTATAGACATTTAGGAGGTAATTCGTTTTAGCACTGACCCTTTCAATTCGTCAGCATCTCTAGAATGTTCTCGCTCTATGCATATCCTGTTTGGGAATCAGCTGAGTCAGAAATCCGTGCACACGTTTGCCTCCCGGCTCACGTAAAGTTGAAGTTTCATCGCTGCGACCCGCTCCGAAACTTTACTTCTGATACAACCGACGCATTGCTATGCTATGACGCAGGCAATTACCGGTAAACACTCAGGTTATGACCTCTCGAACGGAAGAGGTTTACGACCTTCCACATCCGATATTACAGTTTTCTTCCGACTAAAATAATGTTAATGCCGTTCTATAAAACATAGGTAGTCACTAAAGGAACACTTGGCATGACACAGTAAAGTGTGTTTTATTCATATTTTGCAAATTTTTATTCGAGTTCAAAAATATAACCTCACAGCTCGTGATGTCACCATATTCGTATTTTATCAAAACGGAAAACTGAATTTAATACCAAACTTAGAAGCATATTTCATAATGTACCACATATGAGCCCATCTACAACGGCTCATAAAACATAATGGGACACACACACACACACACACACACATATATATATATATATGTATATATTATTATTTTTTATTATTAGTGTTCTGTCTGACGACAGGTCCATATACTATGAACAGGATCCTTCCATCCTTTTCTCGGACTGGGACCTGTTCATATACATTCTTGGCAGATGATCCAGAAGTGGTTTGCCATTGCCTTCTTCTGTGTGTGTGAGTGGAGTAATTGTTGGAATGCCACGGAGAAACCGGGGAGCCCCCGGAGGAAAACTCCGTGATACCTAGACCACGGTCTTGCCCAACACAAGTTATAAATCTGTGCACCACCGGGAATTGAACCCGAGACCCCAGGATTACAAGGCTAGTGTTCTGACCACTAGACCACCGTGGCGGTTTATATATATATATTAACCGTTTAAACACATTTCTGTCATGGAATTCACTAAGTCCGTCAAATTTTCGACATCGGAAATTTGCAGCTTGAAAGAGCTGGTTCAAGGCCTTTAATCATAGATGACACAGTGAAATATGGATGGATGGGGGGGGGGAGAGAGAGAGAGAGAGAGAGAGAGATGCTGACAGTGTTAAATCGGAATAAAAGTCAGAAGTGGACATACCTTAAGCACAGCACAGTCAGCAGATACCGAAATTGGCTGCCAGTAACGACGTCGGATAATTGTCACGACTGGACTGCCCTTCCTGTGGCTCAAAATGCGATTAGGGTCTATTTTCCAATTCAAAAAACAAAATAAAAGTTAGTTGCACTGCCCATCGCCTCATTTCCAGTGACATGTTCACACAACGGATTTCCTGAACGTGTTTCCATTTTCAGACGTGTTTCTTTCTTTTTTTTAAAATAGGCGCCATTTCTGGATAAAACTTAGACAGTATTTTTGATCAAAGTGACGTGTCAGAAATTTACGATACAACGCCATTAAATATTTCTCATGAAAGTCTTTACTTTCAATTTTGCTAGCCTGTTTATTCGCAATGAAGTCATTGAAAGATTATAGGAGCGCTAATTATTCCCAGAACTTATTGTTAAGGTTTTAATGACAGCTTCCTCTATCATCAGAACTCCCAAATATTTAAACAATGTATATATATTTATTATCTCAGTCTATACACAAACGTATTTAAAAAGACAGAAAAAAATCTACAAATATACCTCGAAATCAATAAATGCATTGCATTGAAATATATAATAGTTTTAAAAAGATAAAAACGACGATATAAACCTGAAGATGATGTCTAAAACATCGAAACATGTCGTGCAATAATTAATAAGCGCCATAATATAACATAATATAACTTATTGTAATATTTTATACTACAGATGTTATAATGTTATATAAATTTTAACAACAACATTTTAAATACGTTTGTGTATAGACTGAGATAATAAATAATATATTCGATTTCAACACAAACATGACGCACTTAAGCTACAAATTTAAAAAAAATGATACCGCCACGGTGGTCTAGCGGTTAGAACTCTGCGCTGCGACACAGAAGACAAGTCATCTTCAGCATGAGAACCTGAAATACCACCAATAACAAAGATATCATCTCCATTTCTCTCCTCAGTCAAGGGCCAATTACAAAGAATTTTACGAGTCCAAGACGACAACAACACATTTCTGGTTCAAAACCATATTCGGGTATGTTTCCCACGGTCAACATAAAAAAATGTTAGTGTACCAGCATTTAAATCGCATTCTATATAAAAATGGGGTTTCCTTTATTCAAAGTGACGTCAGTTGTGACGTTCAAATCATTTCGTACTGCGCACGTATCGCAATTATTTTGGTTTGTGAGAAAACAAAGGTAAGACACCTGAAACGGAATTGGGTATTTCCCTGCAAATTTTCCTTTGGGTGGTCCTTGTACAGATTTAGACAGGGGAAAGGCATAAAATTGAACAGTCACGCGAACGTTGCACCTTCTCATGTCACACGGTCGAATATAAAATATAAA